CTACCGTTATATAATAACGAGAGAACAACTTGACAACCATGCAGTAACACAGACGCAGGAATGGATGATATAGCATCTGAAAACACACAGCTATTATACATCGGGGTATATCGTCACACGCTTTGGTAAATCAGCAATCGCCTTGACATCGATGGTCACAGTCATGGATAATAATTGTGTTCGCCTATAAGCAGTTAAGACTTAGAAAAAAAACCCATGCTGTAATAAAATGACGATGCTTGTCCTAACAATGTGTTATGAACTGACATAGTTGAAGATGGGTTTGATTTAGAGTTGCCTCCCCTGCTTGTAGCAGCCGACCACTTGCGTCCTGTCCTGTCGAGACCTTAGTTGTTCTCAACCTAAAGAGTGTTTAAATGGGGAAGTTTAAATTTTCAGAATCCGTTGACGTGTCAGAAATATGTTCAGCATTAACAGGAGGTTGATCTAAGCAGTACCCCATATAACCACCGTAAATGCCAGACTGTTTACCTCGTTATGGACCAGGGGGCGGTCGGGTAGTCTAGTGGTTAAAGCGTTCGCTCGTCACGCCGAAGACCCGGGTTCGATTCCCGACATGGGTACAATGTGTTTAGCCCATTTCTGGTGTGCCCCGGTGATATTGCTGGAATATTGCTAAAAGCGGCGTAAAACCACACTCACTCACGTAATGGAACAAGGATACAATGGTGAAACAATCATGAGTGATTGACGCAGGGATCGCAATAACGGGTGCAAATAGATCTACATCGTTCCCATATTATTTTATTAATGATCATTTAATTGTGATCACATTCAAAAAAGTTATTTAATAGCACGTTAAGAAAAATACACCAACACAACATGATGGCTACAAAACATGAGTGAAATCAAACAAAACAACAATGATTTGTTAAATGTAGTCTCATGTCGTGGTACACGTGTACCATACACTTATATCAATCACATGCAAGTGAAAGTGTATTCAATAAACACGCATCATTCCATTGAGAAAAACAAATCCCCAGTGACTAGTACAATAGCAGTCATGAGTGAACGGGCGGAAGGATAAATAAAAGTAGCAACGAGGCAGTCTGAGACAAAAATAGTTCAGGAAGCGGAGCACTCACTATTGGTTAACGGAACACGGCAACCAGTCACAGATAAAACCTTACCATATATGTTTTTAGCGTGTACACATTTCCATACAACTGACACAGCACTGTGGCGTGAATCAGGCCCGCTTCAGGTGAGCTTGTATAAGAATATTTCACTTTCTTGAAGACCAGTGTATGTACATGTATGTCGCTGATTAAAGGTCACACATTCGTAACATATATTATATTACATTTTATACTGTACGTGTTATTCATTGACAATTCTGATTTAGAGTGAGTGAGTTGGGCTTAACGCCGCTTTTAGCAATATTCCAGTTATATCGCGGCGTGTCAGCTTAATGTGGGAGGAAAGCCCGATGTGATGCAGGTCTCAGACGTTTACCACTTCGGTGAAACCCACGAGCACGGGTATGGTGCTGAAAAAGCTAGAAACATAATCGGGGCGAGTCGGGATTCGAACCCACAATCATAGGTTTCTGGCGTGCCCAAGGAACGCAACTTTGCACAGCGAATCGCGGCGCCTTAGACGACTGGGCCACCCGTGCCCCCTCTGATTTAGATATTTTACATGTTATCAATCACACGGAAGCGTAAGCTATATGATATGTCATGTTCATGATCTAATTTCAATGTTCTATGACAGCTACAAGTGCTTAAGGGGCGGTGGGGTAGCCCAGTGGTTCAAGTGTTCGCTCGTCACACCGAAGACCCGGGCTCGATTCCCCACATGGGTACAATGTGTGAAGTCCATTCCTGGTGTCCCCCGCCATGATATTGCTGGAATATTTTAAGAGCGGCGTAAAACAATACTCACTCACTCACTACAAGTGCTTAAAGTGTTATAATGCTTTACTTTCACAATGTTTTCTCATATGTTATAAAAAATGAATCCCTATTTTGTCTCAACGTGATGAACATGCACTAGATTTTTTGGATCTGACAGGTTATAAAAATCAAAAGTTGTGAGGTTACTTCAACTCAATGCACCTAGTGTGATAAATAGAGAATCTCACCCGAGTGTCTTTTGATATAAAATATATCAACACGAGTTGATAAAAGTGGGAAAACTCCGAGGCTCGCCGAGGATTTTTTCCACTTTTATCAACGAGGGTTGATTATATTTGATATCAAAAGACACGAGGGTGAGATTTTATTTATCATCCAACATCATTCTTCAAACTTTTTCAGTTTGTAGACAGTAATTAGCAGTGTCTAAGTGTAAAAAGTACTGCCTACAGCTTCAGTAGCAGAGCCATTGGTGACGTCATATGATTGTGACGTCATGGTAACCAATAACGTCACAATGGTTTGCAAAGCATTGTGATGCAATTTCATTGCAGCGATATCTACAGTGTAGATATCGCTTGATCTCACCCAAGCGATATCTCCTGTGGGAGCAAGTTTTGGATGATAAGTCGCTGTTCATTATTGACGCAATATAACATGCATGTGTTTTGATGTATGTCAATATTTCTAGGCGTACCTTTAGTTCAAAGTGTGTAACAAAATGTTTAACCTTGTAGAAATTGAACCTTTGGTCGGAAAGCATTTCAAGACAGCTTTTTCATGAATTAAGAATCTTTGTGATTATTCGGGTTTACAATGCGCCCATAAATAACCTGGAATCGGCGATCATCAACATGTTATATTGCCATAAAATTTAACGATATCTTGCTGGCGATGTAAACATACATTTGTGCGTAAACAAAGTATAATTATTTGCTTGTTTGTTTGTTGTTTAACGCCGCACTCAGAAATATTCCAGCTATATGACGGCGGTCTGAAAAATAATCGAGTCTGGACCAGACAATCCAGTGATTGACGTCATGACCATCGATCCGCGCAATTGGGATACGATGACATGCATCAACCAAGTCAGCGAGCCTGACCAACGATCCCGTTAGCAACCCCTTACGACAAGCATAGTCGCCTTTTCTAGCCAGCATCGGTTGCCGAAGACCTATTTTACTCCTTAACACATTTTGTAGAATATTGCGGTCGCGCTTGTTGAACACACTCCCAGAAAACAATTAAGAAGAACCTAAAATCAGCATTAACCCTATATTCCCTGCACGCAAAGCACGAAACCTTTCATCAACGACTGTACACGTCAGCGATGTTGCCGTTGTCATGGTGCGAAAATATGAAAAGCCATATTGAATGAAGCGTCGTACAATACCCGGCGCAGCTGTTTCCGTGCAGCATGTGCTTTGAAAATACATCTCGTACCATCGAAAAACTACTCACTCACCTCTGAATTAGACCTTCGCGCCTGAAACTACGTGAGTAGACTGCGTATTAACTACTGTTAATAATTCTTACTTTGTAGGGAAGTTAGAAGCTGAATTGGTCCCATCTGTCATTATGTGGATTTTATTACAGCTGAAATTAAATAAATACGTTTTCGCGTTGAGTTAACAGTCTTATATTTGTCCTTTGATACAGCATTCAAACCATCAAACGATTTCTCGATACAAAATATGTTTTTTTATTTGCATTCCGTACGAATATATAAAATTATAAATAATGAGATTCTGACCATCTCTGACTAGCATGATCTAATAAAAAGACAAATATAACACTAAATTAAACGCGTAGATATATATGCATTTGATAACCCCGCATTTTGAAAGGTGATGGTTGTCATAAGAATTTGACTTGTTGTTCTACCTATAAGCATGCATTTGATACATAAACATTTGAAACCTACGAAAGCAGACAGTTAAGGTATCAAATCAGTCTATGTAATCTTTCAATCTTTCAGCCACATGCGCGCGCGCACGCACGCACGCACGCACGCACGCGCGCACACACACACACACACACACACAAACACACACAAACACACACGTTACTCCGAAAAGCCGTCTTCCTGGAAACGTCTACATAATGTGATTCAAGGGAGATTTTAACTTACCGAAGATTCGTTGTTCCGGGCATTCGTTTATCCGGCCGATTTCATAGAAAATAATATCGTCCGGGTTAAGCAGGTTTAACTAGATAGATAGATAGACAGATAGATAGATAGATAGATAGATAGATAGATAGATAGATAGATAGATAGATAGACAATAACAAGGGAAACAGTAAACATATAAACCACCACAAACACATGTTAGATTAGATAGATAGATATTTTATGAAACCAAAACCAATAAAGCAGGTCTAGCCAGCTCTTTTCCACATGAAATTAACATCAAGAAAAATAATTTAGAAGAGAGAAATGTATTGTGTAATAAAAAATGTCTATATACCAGTCTAAACAGATATGTATACAAATAACACGAAACTTAAATACTTAATACAGACAAATTCACCAGTTGTTGACCCTACGTAATAGATCAGTATTATGAAACTGTGATTTGCATTTCCTCACATGGTTTGCTATTGTTTATGAAAATTTCATGGCTGACTGGAAACAATTCTGAGATAATGTCTAATCCTGGGATATATACTGTAATATTCCCCTCCCAATAACGGCATTGAATCATATGACTTCCATCTAATGGCATTTTACATTGTGAAATCCGGTTTGAATCAATATGTTGACGTAATATAAGCACATATTAAGTACTAGCAGTTGAAAACATGTGACGTCACGGGGAGTGGTTACAACCGTCCGGAACTGGCTACCACTCGTTTGAATAATGAGAAATGCTTTTAATTATGTTTGCTGTCGCTTGTTATGTTTGTTATGTTTGATTTAATTTAACCTGTATATATTTTGAATATGAAACCAGCAATATCAGCCAACAAAGAAAGTATTATGTATTTTACGCGGCCAGACAGCACTCCATGCTAATAGTATTCATTCAATGAACTGACACGCATGCGCGCTATCCTTTGACCGAGTTCAGAGTTCAGCCAATCATATCGCACTCACGCCGTGAACACGAGTGAAGTCCAAGTGACTGCCGTGGCATTATAAATGCACATATTTGCATATTGCCGGCATAGTCAGAGTTAACTGTCAAACCAGATACACACACGTAGAGGGGACGTATTTTTTTCCAAAATATCATTTTTGGAAAATGACTATTCCCGAAAACCTTACAAGTGTGAAGAGTTCAGACAAGGATCGATATGAACTGATTACAGACCTAAAAAGGGTGAGTTATTTAATATTGATTTTCATAATATATTCTTTTAAGTAGTGTTTCGTTTATGAAAGGGGTTCTTAACGTAATTCCTCCTTGGTCTTAGGATATGCCCTTACCCCTGGAGAAAAGCATTAAGGGCGAGTCCGGCGGGGCAGATTCTGGCTTCAGCTCCCGAAACAGTGTCTCAAATCCCAGACAAGATGAGGTGGATGAATCGAGGGAAACAGCGAGACTTGCCCTCGCGGTAGACGGTGATGTTGCAATGACAGAGGACAAGTCTAGTCGTACCTGTGACGGTGTGTATAGTTGTGTCTACATCACTGTTGTCATTGTCGTCGTCACAAGTTCATCATTCCCTACCCAGTGATAACAATCCATATTCCTAGTGATAACTATCCATATCGACCAGTCCTAACCTGATGACTCCATATTTTGGGTACTCATCGTATCAGTGGGAAATGGTGTAGAATTATATTTACAGAATACCGCTTTTTCTAACTGTAAGGAAGCTTTTAATATTTGAATATCCTGATTGGCTTTGAACATCCGCCTTTATACGGCTGTGTGATATATTGTGGCGCCATGTGGCTTTCAGTACCGGCTTCCCTCACACGTGTTTGCCTGCTAGATCCGTGACGCAGGTTCACGCTGGCCTATCGTACGACTCGTGCAATCGATCAAACGAAGAGAGAGAGAAAAAAAAACAAACCCAGGCGTGTACAGGAATAGGAGAAAAGGCTGAATAATGGGAATATAGACTATTACACAGGAAAAAATAGGCAGGTGACATATGTAGAAAAGAAACGCTTCCCAGAAATCAGAGAAATATGTACATATTTATTAAAAGTTATCAATACATCATTGATTTGAAAGCATGGCGGACGCGTGAGAAATAGGTACGTTTTGTCCAGATCTATAGCTTAATTTGCCCCTCATTTTATCATCGTTCTTAATTGAAAAGAATAAGACCGCGACAAATACCGGCATGAGTGTCATTTGGATAGGACAGAGACCATATACCGATCGATATGTCGGTATATGGTCTCTGGGTATACGAATAATAATCTATGATATATTGGCCATGATAATATAATGTGTTCCATTCTCACATTTCCATTCATTTTTATTATCGTGTTTCAAAATCACATGATATCAGATGAAAATATCCACCACGTCCATTTTGTAGCAAGCTGTCTTTTTCGGTCGTATTTGACCGAGTCGATGAGTATTTCCGGGTTAGCCGCGCGCCAATAATGAAATAGGCGCGTAACGTTTGAATACACGTTAAGTCAGAGCACAGTATGCCGGCTGTAACCGGATAGTGCGCCACTGATGCATGGTTGTCAGCCTGGTTCAACGTCGGCTTGTTATTGATAATATTGAAATATTAATTTTGATTAACAAATTTAATGGAACCTTCTCTGAATCTTATTACGTATTTTTAAAATTTTGTATTTTAATAAAAATGGCATATTTCAATAAAGAAAGGTGTGTGTGTCGGTGGTGATAATTAGCGGGATTTACAGTTGTTTCCTAGATTTGTTGTGATTTTTTTTTATCGTAACAATTTTCTTTGGAAATATTTCATATCGGGACTTTTGGAACAGTCGAAGTAGAATCGACTAGTTGGCAAGGATACTTGAGGTATTTTAGAAAAGAAAAGGGTTCGTTGTTTTTACTCCTTTGTTAAATTAAAATTGATGTTTTTTACAAACATTGTTAATCAATTATATGAGAAATGACTCCTTTAATGCGCATTATCAATTATTTATTCTTTGTAGTAATAACACTGACTATATTGCATGTAGTCCTGCACCATGACCTTGGAATATATTTATTTTATGAAAAAATAATAATCTAGAAACGCATACAAAAGCAAGTCTTGCCAGCTCTAGCCAGCTCTATTCCACAGCATAGGGATTTTTTTTTAATTTTTAGAGTCAATAAGGATATTGTGTAATATTAGATTTCAGAGACTAAATGTTAGTCTATATTGCACGCTGTAGGCGAATGTATGCGTGAACAGCTGTGCGTTACCAGGATAATAATATTCATGTGGGATGGGCCAGATTTATGATGATAATGACTGCATAGATGAATTAACAGTATCCCATTGCCAGCGTTTACAAAGGCCGCATATATACAAGAAAACGCCATACACTAGTTGATGCTTGTGCCTATCGCATTCTGCATAACACGGGCAGTTATTGCTCAAGACGGGGTGACGCTTTGTTCATCATTACGCGCCCGTTATCTGCAACGGCAGCATTATCTTACCCCTGCTGTGGGTGCACATGCACTTGCTTTCAGTGCACATGCTGATCCCACGTGGGTGTAAGATCGCTTTACGAGACCGTTGTTGGGTGCTATAGGATATACAAGGAGCTATACGCTAGGGAGCGCCAGCGCACACAAAGACGTTCAGCAATTTATAACCCCAACCAGCGCGCTTGCGTTGTCTGCATGGGCGCGTGAATATCATTCTGTATCGGGGTTAGCTATTGTACGTTATGTCGTGGAATGTCCTCGTGTGCCAACTTCACATGGTAGAAGTCTCCCTCCCCTTTACATAATGGTGTATTAACTCGAGTTTGAATCACCATAAATGTGTGTATAATGGTATGGTAATTGTAATTATATTACATTTATCCACCTTTCAGAATGACAGAAATATCAGCCACCTCATCACGCCTTCTTTTAAGAATCTAATGCCAAATACTGTTATTTCAGCGTCTTCCTACTCCAAGAATCAGGCAGAGCTGCCGTTGTAATCGCATTTATCACTATAACTGCTTATCAACCAACATTTTCTTGTCAACAGAGAATGCAGTCGGATGTCAAGCAAGCCGGGTACCTATTGGCGTCCTGAAGGTTTTGGGCATTGTCTGCCTTCTGTACTCATTCATCTGCTCGCTAGATCTCCTTGGCAACGCTTTTCAGCTGCTAGGAGGCAAAGCTGCAGGTAAACTAACAACAATTCTAATATAAGGTAAATGCTAGTCCAAGGAAAATTTTATTAATTAATTTTCATTAATATTTTAGAGGAACAGGTAAAAATTTATTTGGACTTTATGTATTTATTAAATGTTTTTGTTACACATATTCTACTATTTTGATTTTAAAATTTAGCAAAGAACCACAGTACCAGAAGTCGTATTCCTATGCTGGCAGTGACTTTATTGAATTCCTGTTCAAATAAATGATATTTCCCTACTGCTATTTCAGGGGAAGTTTTCTCCCAGAGCGACCTCCTGTTGAACCCGATTACGGGGTTGATGATGGGGATCCTGGCCACGGTGTTGCTGCAGAGCTCGTCGACGTCCACGTCCATCATTATCACGATGGTGTCGTCAGGAAGTAAGTAGTCCCTGATGCCAGCGTTTGATACATTGTAAATACTTTTAAATCCAACCAGAGCCCTATCTGTCTGCATGGGCGCATGAATATGTATCCGGGCTCAACTGTTATGCTCACACTGTATGTGACCTGACCTGTCAGATAAACTGTAGTAATATGAACAAATCATGTGTTCTTTAACTTCTTTTGAGTAGTATATTTTTTGTTCCTAAAATGCCGAATGTTTCCGACAAAGAGAAATGCAAGTCTTGTTCTGTTATCAGAAGTAGAATCTCATTTGCCAATATGCTTACAGCAATAGTAAGTAATAATTTTATGTAATTTTAATATTTTTTAATTTTTTAATATCTGAATTACAGTCATTGATGTACAACCTGCTATCCCCATCGTCATGGGCTGCAACATCGGCACGACAGTGACCAACACCCTTGTATCTCTGGCCCATTCCAGCAAAGGGAAGGAGTTTGAGAGAGCTTTCTCTGGAGCCACCGTACACGATGTCTTCAATTGGCTCACGGTGCTGATATTGCTGCCTCTGGAGGCCTCAACTCGTAAGTGTAACTCAGATTAACGAACAAATTAATTAGTTTTTTCAGTACCCATGAAGATCCAAATTAGATTTCAGCAACCCATATTTGTAGTTTAAGAGGGACTAACGGGGTCCGGTGGTCAGGCTCGTTGACGTGGTTGATGCATGTCATCGTATCCCAATTGCGTAGACCGATGCTTATTAAGTCAATCACTGGATTGTCTGGTTAATATTCGATTAATTTTATACCGCCGTCATACAGCTGGAATATTGCTGAATGCGCGTTAAGCAAGCAAACGAAATTAACTTTTCAAATATTTATATTTCTATAATATGATGAACTTTTTTTGAGAGGTCCAATGTTGGTTACAGATATGCTGTACCGCCTGACTGACGTCATCGTCTCCAGCGGGGACTTCAGCAGCATGAAGAGCAAAAAGCAGGATCTGCTGAAGAAACTGACGAAGCCTCTTACAAAGATGGTTGTGCAGATTGACAAGAAGGTGATCACACTGATTGCCGAGAACAACCCTGAGGGCAATGGCAAGAGAATACTCAAGGTAGGCATTTGCCATGTTTGTTATGGCAAACCGCAATGTTACAGCAATACACCTTCCGCTTGTATTGACCAGAAAAAACAGTGACTGATATTAGAAACAGTATCCCACACGAAGATGATGACACCATGAAGGCAGGTCACCTCTCTATGAGACACCTTATTTTGGACCTGTTTAACCCCGGTTCCACACACGTAGAACCAACATTCACTTAAGCAATTGTTTATGTATGAGCTTGTTACAACTGACCAGTGAAGATCCCGGCTAGAATTTGTCTTCGGCAATCCATGCTTGCCATAAACGTCGACTATGTTTGTCGTAGGAGGCGACTAACGGGATCGGGGGGTCAGGCTCGCTGACTTGGTTGATGCATGTCATATTATCCCAATTGCGCGGATCGATGCTGATGACGTCAATCACTGGATTATGTGGTCCAGACTCGATTATTTACAGGTAGCCGTCATATAGCTGGAATATTGCTGAGTGCGCCGTTAAACAACAAACAAAAAGAATGTTCGTTTTTGTTGCAAATCTTCCTTTTGTACATTTTGATGCTTGTTTGTTTCAGACTTTTTGTACAAGTGAGGTGCTTGTTAACGCCACTGACGGCAACAACGTCACTGAGACGTGCGACAACACATGTAAGTTCACCCTCCTACCTCTTTAATATCTTATTTCAATTGGAGGTTGGTCATGACTATTGTCCAATCTCGTTTACGTACAAATACTGCTTTTCCTCTTAATAATTATTTTTCTGAATCTTGCAATAATGAATTTTTTTAGTCGTGAGATCATTGATGTATTTGAAATGATTTTTATTTTGATATTTTTGGTTAACAGTCCATGCTGTGATAAACCACTTCCACGCCTCACTGAACGACACGATGGCCGGTGCCATCCTCCTGATCTTCTCTATCGTACTGCTGACGATCTGCCTAGTCTGCATTGTCAAGGTAAGACTAGTTGCAAATACTTTTTCAAACTTAAGCCCTTCTTGGAATCACTTTTCGATTTTGTGGAATAATACACGTCTACACAACATAATATTCTGGATGATTGGTCCAAACTCGATTATTTACAGACCGCCTTCATATAGTTGGAATATTGCTGATTGCGGCGTTAAATAAATAACAAAATGTTAGTGTATGAGTGGCGTATCCATGTTGACCTGCACGCACGCACGCACGCACGCACGCACGCACGCACGCACACGCACACACACACACACACACACACTGACATGCTGGATGTTCTGTACAATAATGTATCGTGCTTAAAAGAATTTGTTGTGACTTTTCCTAACCAGTTGGTATTCTCGGATGTTCAAATCAACCCTCTTTGTTCCAGCTACTCAACTCCATGCTGAAAGACAAGATCACAATCTGGCTAAAGAGGGTCATCAACGCCAAATTACCATTCCCGATTGCCTGGTTCACCGGCTATCTCGTCATCCTGATTGGAGCAGGCCTCACGATTCTCGTCCAATCAAGTTCCGTATTCACATCTGCTCTCACCCCATTGGTGGGTGTAGGATGTCTGAAACTTCGCAGAATGTATCCACTGACCCTGGGTTCTAACATAGGAACCACCGCAACTGGCATTCTTGCTGCCCTGGCCGCTCCTTCGAATAAGCTTGGGGTAGCATTGCAACTGGCACTTTGTCACCTGTTTTTCAACATCTGTGGTATTGCGTTATTTTATCCTATTCACCCAATGCGTAAAATCCCAATCAACGCAGCCAAATATTTAGGAAAAACAACAAACAAGTACAGGTGGTTTGCTGTTTTTTATTTAGTTGTTTTATTTTTCCTTATGCCGGGATTTTTCTTTGCCTTGTCCCTAGCAGGTACCTTACCATTTATAATAGTTGTACCCATCATCGCTTCTGTTGGTTTATTTGTTGTCGTTGTAAATGTTATTCAAAGTAAACGTAAAACTCTTTTGCCAAAGCGTCTCCAAACTTGGGACTGGCTTCCTAAATGTTTGAGATCATTGGAACCATTAGATAAAATTATTAATAAAATAGTCCGCGTATTTTCAAAATGTTCTGGTAGGAAATGTTGTTTGGACGAGAGTCAGTCTGATGTTGAGAGTCAGAATGCAAGTGAAGTATCCATTGACGACGACGATGATGATGATGATGACGATGATGCTGTTGAGGAAGATGAATGCACGGAACTATTTAATAAATTGTGTTGCCAGAGCAAGAAGACCCACATGCCAGCAAATCAAGATGAAGGATTTGAAGAACCTTTAAAACAGAACATTCACCAAATCAGTCATACACGTAAGCCCATTTATACCCCTCCGGGTAAGAAGAAGAACATGGGAAGATTGTGCTTTAATCCCACGAATAATTCCCCCTCGTCCACACCTTTATTGCATGAGGTTACCAAAGTGTAGTCAGGAAGGTGAAGATGGCGGTACTCTGTGGCTTCAATCTGCTCTCAGGTAGTTCTGGTGAGATGAGCTTGGAAGGTTCTAACGGTTCTTGAGCAGGTTTGAGATAATGAAGGATAAATTGGTGTTCAGGTTTCATTTCCGGACTACAGGCTAGGCCGAACAAATATGCAAAACCGGTTGTAAGCTATATTAGCTAAGGTAAAACATTCGTCGTTCATACTGAACTTTCTTTGTTCCATATGTTATGGGTATAATTGGTAAATGCTATTGTAATTAAGAAAGAAACACAGTCACAATTCTCATGATTTTTTTAAAAAAAGAAGATTTTTTAAAAAATTTCCTGCCAAGCTGAAACGTTGTGTTCGAGTTTATTTTCGTTTCCAAGCTCAGTCTCATTTAGCTCTCGCCAAATTTCGCAAACCATTCCCAATTAATTCCAGATCGACATATCAATGCTCAGCAATTCGTGAAGCTTGTTAAAAACAAACAAACAACCTATCATGTGCTTTGCCAATGTGACTGAAAGAACAATTGTGTTATTTATGAAGGCGTGTTTCTTCAGGACCTTGTATCATATCCACTTCATTTCCATATGTCATCAATCATACCAGCATTTATGAACAAATGACTTGTGTGTGTACATTATGCGAGCAGGAGTGCCTGCAGCACAAGGACAACGCCAAAACAACAGTCTCAGTTGGGTATGCTGAATTTCTCATGATACAATCTTTTAGTCATTTTTAAGTTGTACATTTTTAGATTTAAACCATTTTAAATAACTACGAATCTCATTTGAATCTCTTGCCAGAGGCTAAATGCAATGTATATCTGTATCATAGCATATTATTTTTCTACCGCTTAGTGCATTCGTCTCCGGGCAAGTAGTATTAGCATTGTAAATATTTAAATATTAAAATTATGGATCGCTATTGCTTGCGGTTATGGTTTTATATTATAAATAACTATTTTTTCATTTGATATCATTTGTACTTTGTAAAAAATGAAGAAAGGATTAAGGAAAATCTCAGTGTAGTAGTATTTGGACCAATTCTATTTACCATTTCTGATGATGACATTGTGATACATGAGAACCAGGTATTAATTCTACTCACATGCATGTGATAAGATGCGTGTCAGGTGTTGAACTCTTAACTTGTCACGTGTATGACAATCTCAATGTGAACTGCTGACAAGGTGAATGGTATAGACCGAATAGTGAACGTGTGCATATGGATGTTATGAACATCAGCGAAAGATGTATGTATGTATTTATGTATATATGTCAATACATGATCATGTATGTGTGTATGTGAAGAACACATGAACAATAATAAAATATGAAACAAACTCTCTTTTTGTTATGTTTGAAAATTGTGATTATTTTAAATTAAAACATGTTAACGTTATGCTTGTACATCCAAGGATTTCTTTGGAGTTGTTGTCTAAAAATGTTCAAAGTTTTTATGTATGCACAACGCTAGCCTTGCTCCAACGCTGTACTGAATGATAAGTCCATGGATGTAGAGTAATTCTATCCTTATAAAAGGCAAGTCCAGATATGTGGACAGTGCAGGACGCCAGTCTTTTAAGGGACATATTGTTCTTATAGTTTTTATAATTAAGAAAATATGATTTGAATAATTATTGCCTTAGGAGACTTGTGCAAGGCTAACACAACGTGGTCGCTGTAGAATAACAAGCTGATTTGACAGGCAAATGAACGCCGTCATGTTCTTTTGACGTTGCAACAAGGCGCTGTGGGGAGTTTCAAATGTCATGCAGGCAGATCGCCACCCCCGGGTAGTGACAGCGGTAGGGTCCCTCACAGTGTAGGTGACGTGTGATGGTTAACCCTTTCAGTGCGGTTTCATGTGTTTTGTTTTTATCCCCCGACCAACGAAGTTGGCGGGGGATATAGAAACGGGCTCCGTCCATCCGTCCGTACGTCTGTCCGCCCATCAGTCCATCCGCCACGTTTCGTTTCCGGAGCATAACTCATAAACCGTTCAATATTTTTTTATCAAACTTTGCAGGTCTGTCAGGTACGTGCTGAACTGGTGCCTTTTGCTATTGAGAAATTTACGAAATATTTATTCTTTACGTTTCCATGGCAACAAGATGGACTTAGGTTCTGTGAGGGTAGGGTTCGTTTTCGGAGCATAACTCATAAACCATTCAATATGTTTTCATCAAATTTCGCAGGTCTGTCAGGTACATGCTGAACTGTTGCCTTTTGCTATTTTGAGAAATTTTAGAAATTTTTATTTTTTACGTTTCCATGGCAACAAGATGGACTTAGGTTCTGTGAGGGTAGGGTTCGTTTCCGGAGCATAACTCATAAACCGTTCAATATTTTTTCATCAAACTTTGCAGGTCTGTCAGGTACATGCTGAACTAGTGCCTTTTGCTATTGAGAAATTTTAGAAATATTTATTTTTTACGTTTCCATGGCAACAAGATGGACTTAGCTTCTGTGAGGGTAGGGTTCGTTTCCGGAGCATAACTCATAAACCGTTCAATATTTTTTCATCAAACTTTGCAGGTCTGTCAGGTACATGCTGAACTGGTGCCTTTTGCTATTGAGAAATTTTAGAAATATTTATTTTTTACGTTTCCATGGCAACAAGATGGACTTAGCTTCTGTGAGGGTAGGGTTCGTTTCCGGAGCATAACTCAAAAACCGTTCAATATTTTTTCATCAAACTTTGCAGGTCCGTCAGGTACATGCTGAACTGTTGCCTTTTGCTATTGAGAAATTTTAGAAATTTTTATTTTTTACGTTTCCATGGCAACAAGATGGACTTAGCTTCTGTGAGGGTAGGGTTCGTTTCCGGAGCATAACTCATAAACCATTCAATATTTTTTCATCAAACTTTGCAGGTCTGTCAGGTACATGCTGAACTGGTGCCTTTTGATATTTATAAATTTTAGAAATATTTATTTTTTACGTTTCCATGGCAACAAGATGGACTTAGGTTCCAAACTTATCTGTTTTTACAATTTCCATGACAAGTTCCACCTCGGTTAAAAAAGGTTAGGGTTTGTTTAGATTTAATTATGTCATAAATTCTGCAACAGGGGCGGGGGATATAGCCACGTTAGTGGCAAACTCTTGTTGCCATTGTCATGCACTTCCCAGTCATGTTACTAAAATGTAAACTTGACGTTTATTAATCTGCCGGGCAAAAGAAAGTATACACCCATGTTTGATGGTGTCTAAACTTGAAACAAACAAGAAATGGTTTTCAGATGGTGACCTTTTTGATACGGGTATCATAGTTGTGTTTTGGTCCTACATTTTCCACTGTTTCGGCGAATGTTTTCAGCCTTGTAACGTTTTGATAACGTTTGTAATTTCTATCTTAACTCCAATTTTCAAGTGTTTTCTGTATTTGCCCGGTAGTTATGATCGTGCTTTTGACAAGACAGATTTCAGAGTCGAACTTATTTGAGAGAAATATGTACATCGTGCATGGTTATACTAGTTAGTTTGTACAAAAACAATAATATACAAAGTTGCTTTAATATTACTTTTCAATATCTGTTCTTTCTTTAAATGCCACCCTTAACGTCCCGTTAGCATCGTATTTTTTTTGTTTAACGCTGCACACAGCTATATTCCAGCTATATTACGGTTGTCTGTAAATTGTCTAGGTCAGACAATCCAGTGATTGGCATCATGGGCGTCGATTTACGCAATTAGGATACAATGACACACATAATCAACCAAGTCAGCGAACCTGACCACCCGATCCAGTTAGTCGCCCCTTACAACAAGTATGGGTTGCTGAAGGCCAATTCTAACCCTGAATTTCACGGGTGCCCAATTTGGTCGCCTCTTACAATGATTGTCCTGAGGTCACATTCTACCCCGGGTCCCCACGGGGGTGTGCATTGTAGAGGCGACTAAATGGCGGGGGAAATCGGGCTCGGTGACTTGGTTGATCGCGTGTCACCATGCCCATAGTAATAAATTAACACTATTACTTTCAGAATCTCCCATGACAAATGATGTTCAAATTGATGTTCATTCACGTTGTAGAAGAACGTGTATAGTCGATACTTAACCCTTGACGTTATTGGACGGTTATGATTTAAAAAGAAATGTATACATTCTGAAAATAAATAAATAAATAAATAAATAAATAAATATATATATCTCCTTGGGCGAGATGCCAAATGGAAGAAACGCGATGCCTGCCTTCGTTCGAGTGGCATTTAAAGACCGTTTAAAGTCTCAATAACAACTGTCACTGCAGTATGTACATTGTTCAATAAGCGACCTGTCTGTCCTACCTACGTACATTGTATCGACACACCTACCATCTTCCCGAGGCAAGGGAGTTAACTGAGTCAATGACTATTAAAGTCCAGTTTCCACCCTTGCCGAACTAGGCTGGTATTATGGAGTTACATTTTGGCTGGGCTAACGAGTCTATGCATAGTCCAATCAAAATCGCGCTCCGAAATCAAAATCCGGTTCGTTATCTGTCATGCAAGTTTCGGTCGATTGCGGGATTTGCAAAGCATGTGCACCGCCAACTCGTTGTCAACAAATATGTTCTACCTTTTAACTGAAGGTGCTCACGTGATTTGATGCACTTCGCGATGTAAGACTCATTTTATCACAATATATAGATCTTGATTATCGATCAGATCGTCTTGACTGGGCGCCGCAGTTTTGTTTGAAGCGAGAGGTTGAATCTGATTGGTCAATAGGAGAGGCATACAAGGGACATAACTCGTAATAGCCACTGGTGGCGCTACGATCGAGGCCAGGTATTCCAGCATAGTTCGGCAAGGGTGGAAACTGGACTTTTAAAGTCAGTTAACTCTCTTGCCTCGGGGAAGATGCACACCTACCAACCTACGAAAGCTATCCATCTATTTACCCACACAACAACTGTGGTAAAGCATTGTAACGGAGGCTGTCAAGGTTCGATTCCCAATATCTATATATCCATCCATTTACCAATCCATCCATCCATCCATCCATCCATCCATCCATTGAAGATATCTTTCATCTATCCATCCGTCCGCCCGTCCATCTGTATAATTATTTATACATCTATCCCGCCTCCGTGGTGTCGTGGCAAGAGCGTTGGCCCGGAGAGAGGAAGTTCGGTGGTTCGTGTTATACCTGGCAGTGTCATACCAAAAGACAGAATAGGTCATCAGCAACCAATGCTTGCTGTAAAAGGTGACTATGCTTGTCGCAAGAGGCGACAAACGTGATCGGGTGGTCAGGCTCGCTGACTTGGTTGATGCATGTCATCGAACCCAATTGCGTGGATCGATGCTCATGGTATCAATCACTGGATTGTCTG